AACAATATAAATAAAAATTATGTTGTTACATTAATAATGTTCTACAATTTTGTGACAAAGTTTTTTTCTAATGAGAAAAAATTTACAATTTGTCTTTGGGAAGACATTGAGAATTTTCCAATACATTTTAGAAAATAACCCAATGCTTTGCTTTTCACTTGTCTATTACATATCTAAATGATGGTGTCGGAATTAGAAATCATTGATATGATATTGTGATTCCGATGTCGGATCGGGGTAATGAGAATGATTGTAAAAGACTGTTTGTTGGCCAATGATATCGCCGTTGTGTTACAAGAAACACAGGCGAAAGACATGAGAATAAAGCGCCGGTGCATTCCACAAACTATACACGAGCAGGTTTATACCAACACATATCGAAATATCGTATGGACACCAGAACCACCTTACGTGTGTAGGGCCATTAAACAGGCACCTTAAAGGTAGCCGAAAGATTCTCAAAGGAGAAGAAACTTAACATATGAGGAGCAAAAATCAAGTAGATTAAATTTCGTATAGACCTTCTTCCTTGCATACATTGGACTTAACTGTACAGTATCAACGCGAAATGTTGGCTTCATTTTGCAGTATGTTGATTACAAACTTCCGAATGTTGTCTTTTTTATGAGAAAATTAAAACAACCTATTTGTTCAAATTGGTGAATGAATTACAGCTTTGACAAGGTAGCAAATTGAGTTGAAGGGCAAAACCCAGAAAAGTAGTTTCATAGCAATACTTATCTTTTCCATCAGAAGTATCAGACATTTGTTCGATACTAAGTCTTCGATCTATTTTCGATCAGTTCCTCCTCCTCCTACAGTTTGACGTTCTCTCGATCTCGCCAGGTTATTCTCTTTAGTCTTTTTGATTTCGCCGGCAACAGACAGATGAAATACCATCCGGAGAACATTCGAGATTCGTGTGAACGTTCCTCGTTGTTTGTAAGGAACACGCTACGCGATGTTAAAATCCCAACAAAACACTAAATCAGACGCCGACTGTCGCTTTTCGATTTTCGCGCACTGCGGACTCCGGGCGGTGGGCCACCAATACAAAATCGATTTCGAAATAAATGACATATTGAAACTGAATCCAATTTATTATCTACATTTTGAACAATTTATACATAGTAAAGTATTTTACGAAATGGATCATGTACAATATAAGCACCAAAACTTTCCACAACAAGCAAGAACAGGATTTCAAGAAGAGGATCATGTATAATATAAGCAACCACACACTATGCATAAAATAAATTATTATTTGTATTGCATTTCAATTTTTTAGAGTTTTGCACTATTTTAGTTTCTGAACGCTATTTTAGTTTCTGAGCTTTCCTCGACAATATTCATAGCTTCGGCAAAATACAGTTTTATAATGAAGAATTCATCCTTTTATTTCTCTGTTATGTATATCAATTTGGTATATAAACAATGTTCTACTCAAAACTGATGCAAGAAAATTTTAATAGCATAACTGTACAGAATGATTTTTTAGAATATAGTTTTCTAATTTGTTTTCCGTATACAACCTCACCTGCTACACTAATGATAGTTATTAATATTGTGGTTACAAAATTTTCGTTGTGGTTACCAGTCATTATTGTGTAGGTAAAAACTTAAGAATGAATTGGATACTTATTGTTTTAAGATCTTTTTAATGGTCCTGATCACAACAAGAAACTTTGACTAAAAATCTAATATTTATATTATTACTTATTTGTACATTTAACATATATTCAGAAAAGAGAACTAACAATAAGCCAAATTTGATGAAAGCAAAAATATGAAATTTTGATCAATGTGGCCAAACTTATAAATCATAGGTACCTAAATTTAAAAACATAGCAACTCTATAAATTTAGTTTTATCAGTAATTTTAAAAGGTCAAGAAAATTAGTCTTAAGACTAATTAATGTCATAATTATGACCTATTTATTATTTGGTTTTCAAATTTGTTTTCTATTTCAGTGGCAAGTAATCAGACAGGTTGAAGAGTAAGTTAGAAGAGATATCGCGGGTTTTACATAATTTCCAATTTTGTTGATTTGAAATTTTATTCCATCATTATGTTTTTTTCTAATAAGGGTCCGTTCAAGTATTACGTAAGCACTATAGGGGGGGGGGGGGGGTTGATTTGCTTATTTTGGGTTGACATGGGGGGCAGGGAGTCTGGATGATGATTAGTCATAGGTAGTATTTTTATTTTTTTACATTAATTGCAAAATGTTTACGTAAGCATGAGGGTAGGGGGTAAGAGCTTTGCTCACTTTTGCTGGCAAGGGGGATGGGGGGGGGGTAAAAATTGTAATAAATCTGCTTACGTAATACTTGAACGATCCCTAAGAACTAAAAAAATACATCTATTAATATGCTAAATAAATAATATATCTACGTCAGAATCTACACCATTTATATCCAAAATTTACATTTACCGAAACCTCCAAAAAAAAAGATATTCTCTCCCAAAACAAAAAATACCTATTAACATAAATAAAACGATTAATAACAAATCCATAATAAAACCCCAAACCATTTAACCTGCCCAATTTAAATCAATCAATCTCCTCCTCCGAGCGTGGATTCAGCTTTGATTCCTCTTCCTTTGGCATCGCTCTGCGCGAGGCGTCGGCGATCGTGGTGTTGCCACACATCGCGAAACGAGGTGTGTGGTCCGCTCGTGGTGCCATCTAGTAGTAATTGACAAATTAGAATCCGATTAGCGCGAGCGGGAGGCCGATAAAGCAGGTAGCCGACGGATGCGACGCGTGCCGGTGTGTGTGTGGTCCCTTACACGGGATTCTCACGAAGGCAGGGATTGGCAACCTACATGCAGGTAAATTCATGAAGTTTGAGGAGAATTAAAATTTAAATGTGGAAGTTGGAATAGTAGATAAATGTTACACAAGTATGCTTACACGGAATTCTCATAAAGCAGGGTTTGGCAACCACAAGCAGGTAAATTCATGAAGTTTGAGGAGAATTAAAATTGTAAATGTGAAAATTGGAGTAGTGAGTATTTTAAAGAGATTGATGAATATCATGCAGGTATGCTTAGATTTTAGACTAATAACTATTTTCAATAATATTCGTAAAATCGATCTGAATAAATCGTTATTAATTAATAAAAAAGTTAATAATATTAATAATTGTATATCTTCAAATTTTTATTGTCGAGTTAGCCTAGAATACAGCAACCATCTAGATACTAAATCAAAATATTTAAAGGAAAATATTATTTGGTGATATGTAAGTAAAGTTTATTTTGGTTTAGTCTCTTCCTATACATAGATTTATAGAGATTTTATTTTTGACTCTGAAACATATTCATGACACTTTTATACAACCTAAAAATCATAATCAGTTGTAATTAGTAAATCGTAGTACGATGTTGTTTTATCAATGGACGTGATTATACTATCATAGTACGTCGTAGTAAATCGTAGTAAATCGTAGTAAATCGTAGTAATTAAGTAAATCGTAGTAAATCGTAGTAAATTGTAGTAAATCGTAGTAAATCGTAATACGATGTTGTTTTATCAATGGATATGATTGTACTATCGCAGTACGTCGTAGTAAATCGTAGTACGATGTTGTTTTATCAATGGACGTGATTGTACTATCATAGTACGTCGTAGTAAATCGTAGTAAATCGTAGTAAATCGTAGTACGATGTTGTATTTACAATGAAAGTGATTGTACTATCGTAGTATGTCGTAGTAAATCGTAGTACGATGTTGTTTATCAATGGACGTGATTGTACTATCATAGTACGTCGTAGTAAATCGTAGTAAATCGTAGTAAATCGTAGTACGATGTTGTTTTATAATGGATGTGATTGTACTATTATAGTACGTCGTAGTAAATCGTAGTACGATGTTGTTTTTACAATGAAAGTGATTGTACTATCGTAGTATGTCGTAGTAAATCGTAGTACGATGTTGTTTTATCAATGGACGTGATTGTACTATCCTAGTACGTCATAGTATGTCGTAGTACGATGTAGTATTATGAATGGACGTGATTGTACTATCATAGTACGTCGTAGTAAATCGTAGTAAATCGTAGTACGATGTAGTATTAACAATGGACGTGATTGTACTATCATAGTACGTCGTAGTAAATCGTAGTACGATGTTCTATTATCAATGAATGTGATTGTACTGTCATAGTAAGTCGTAGTACAATGTAGTAAAATCAAGAATATAATTGTACTACCATAGTACGACGTAGAAAATCCTAGTACAATGTTTGTATAATATAACGAAAGTGATTGTACTAACATAGTAAGTCGTAGTACGATAAAGGAAAATTAATGAATGTGATTGTACAATCATAGTACGACATAGTAAATCGTAGTAATATGATAATTTAATGCAATAAATATTATTATTCCATAGCTAGTTATACTGCAAATATTATGACTGATATCTATATGGTACTTTATAAATATTTATTGAATTTGTTATAATTTTACATACTTGATATAAAACTGGTTAATCATTATATGAATCAACAAGTTTAAATAAATAATATAAATGTTTTCATGGTCTACATGTGTTTTTGCCAATATATAAATAATGGGTAAGCTAATAAATTAAAATTAATAATTAATAAAATATATTTTTTTTAGATTTATAGCTTTGGATCATTGATTTGATTTGATCAATATTTGTTACTATTTTGTTTATGCTAAAATTCACTACTAAAATTATATAACCTTAACTTTTGTATATAAAAATAAGATTTATCATACAAAATTCACCGATTTAATATTATCTATTATAAATAAATCATTATTAATTATTGTATCTAACAAGAATCAATTATTCTTATTAGATTGTCGTTCTGCAGAATCTAATAAGATTTCCGCCAGTACTACCACCATTCCACAGTTCAAAGAAGAATGCCGTGAAGTTCGCAACCCCGCTAAATCGTTGTTCGTGTGTTTCCGCTTCCTACCACCAGTTGGCCGACAAGAGCTCTTTTGAGGTGTATACAAAATTCAATCAATAATTTTCTAGGTTGTGCCATTTGACATTTAAGTTATATATGTGCTTATTTGTGATGTGTGTTTATTAACAATTAAAAAGAAATGGAGGAAGCTGTGGAGAATTTAGAAAAATCAGTAAGTGAAGATTATTTTAATTCATTAATTTGTCGTAAACATTTCAACATGTCGTCGGGTAAATAAAAGTTGTTCAATGCATTATTAAACCGATTGGATTGTTTGAATATAAAATGGCTTCTAATTGATTTGATTTGTTTAGTTGACTTATGATTACAGCAATTTATTTTTATCTATATTTATGATATATGGTTTAATTGATCAAAAACTAATAATACATGGTGAATACAGTAATATTTTTCCTTGAATCTGTGAATTGTTTGTTCTCTGATTCTTACCATGATGGATCAGTTTTTAGTTGCAATTCTTTGAAAACTTATGAAAATCACTGTTTCTGGAGTTCCCTTATTTGTGTCTTTCATTCCCACTCATTATTTTCATGATTATTTTACCCAGGTGAAGACGACTGACCAAAAGTTGGAAAATGTAGTTTGTAAAATAGATGAATATGAAAAAAATATGTCAGAAAATGTTAATAACGACGTTGCAGTGTTTGAAATTCTGGAATCTGTCACCGAAGTCAAGAACGAATACCAAAACCTTAGAAAAGACATACTCGAAGTACAAGTCCTTCAAAAACAACTTGCCAACAACTTACGCACCCAATTAAAACAGGTTCAAGGAACTTTTACCATGCTAAAAGGTAAGATTGTCAGGCCAGAAGCTGCGACTCAAGAACGAGTGAGAATTGAAGGAAAGTAGCTTACAATTTCATTGAGATTTTATTCATTTTGGTTGTATAGCATTTCATATTTCAAGAGGACAAGTTTCTACAACTAGTTTGCGACCTAGTGAAACTGTTTTAGTATTATCAGTATTCATGAATTTTGTATACTTTCATAACATTTCATATATACAATGAATGAAATATTGTACAGAGTATATTTTGCTTAACGGTGTGAAGGATACATCTTGACTGACAAGCTTTTGATAAATATTGGGTAAACTGTAAGAAATTGAAGATTACATATAATTTTTTAGATTGATAGCTTTGATTAAAAGATAGATCATTTATCTGTTAGCTATGGATGATTTCAATATTGTGGCTAGTTTGTTTATGCTTATATATGTATGCAGAAAGAGATGTCACAGATTTAACAACCTTGCACATTCGAGAATATTCAGAGGAGTTTGATATAAATTATGTTTTAATTTGTAACTAGACAATGATAGACAAATGGAATTTTATTGAAATTTAAATTGGATTTGATCAGATTTTCTCAATGGCTGCATAATTTAATATTTTTTATTGTTTCAACTACAAAAGAACAATATATTCTCAAAACGAACAATAAAGTTAATGTGTTACAAAGTCCATTGCATTTTATCTCTTGGTTCAAAAATCTACTTATTTGTGGCATTTCTGGCTTATATAAAACCCATAAATTGTTTAATGTGAACAATATATTCCTAATACTTTATTTGCTTTCAACTGAAGGTTATCAATAAATTTGTAATACAATAGATAAGTAGCTATATATTGATATAAACTAAAATACATGTTGTGACCATGTAGTAATAATTGTTTCCTAACCATATCAATATTTGCCGTAAGTTAGAAAACACTGGGCACTTTCCACATAATCCTTCATTAAACATCTCTTCTTTGCTAATTCACAATAATGGAATTTTAACAATGCTTTAGAAACAGATTTTGTTAAAAGATAGTTGCCAATATAAGCTGCAGTACTTTCTGTGGATTCAAAATATTCTTGTAATACAAATAACAGTATTTTCATTGTAGATCAGTTCAGTATCTTATTCGAGTAAATTCATCTAATCATTTTTCATGATCATATCATTGGCAAAGCTTTTGCATGTAGATATCCTCAGCTTTAATTTGCTGTTTGCGTTTGCAGCTTTTTTATAATAGAACAACCAATACATGTCTGATACTATGTATGGTCCCATTCTCAAACTATACATGCAGATGGGTGATTCTTACGCCTTACTCTAGTAATCTTCCTAATTATAAATATATGAAATTACAATGTTTTCTAGGACTTCAAGTTATATTTTCATGAATTTTGTATTATATACATATTGTTTAGGAATTTCACCAAAAAATTTGGCAAGATATGAACATACAACTAGATTGTACTTTAGGAATTTTTGGATACAAGTGAACATTGAAATATATTTAATAATTTTGTAATTTTATGAGTAATAGATAGCGATGTAATCAACAAAGTATTTTGATGTGATTACATTTTTGATGAATCGAGGCAGTCTTTGCAAATCTGACTTAAGTACGCTAACAAACATGACTATAAAGTTAATAAATTTCACAGACATGTTTCTGGTATTTTGCAGAAAATAAATTTAAGACTGTGAATGTATAATTGATTTTTGCTCATTGTCTTATCTGTGTAATAAAATCAAAGGGCTGCAAGATGTGAATTAGAATACTCTCTTGAAAATATCGCTGGATACTACCTAACAAAATTCAAATTGACTCATATTATTTAATAATATGAAACAACCATTAACCATATACTAAAGTAACTCTCTTTAGATATAAGTTTAGAAGTAATTATACTAGAACTTCAAACTCACTTATAAAGCAAAAACTTTAGAGAAACAAATATTGCAATATTTGTAAGCAAACTTGTGCAATTTTTGCTCAGTTTAACCTGAAAATACCTTTTAATTGGTAAATTATAATTGTGCATAATTTTCTGTGATAATATAGTTTTCATGAATTGTTCATTCATGATGTAAGAGTAAATATAGTCAATTAATGTTATTTTATATACTAGCAGGTATACAAAAACATGCATTCTAAAATAAAATGGTATTTTTCAATGTGCCAAAATTTAGGGATATGTTGTGTTAATAGTTTATTACACAAATATTAGTGGAAAATTTTTGAAGACATTGTATAGATGCACTTAATACATGGTTTGTTAAGTCATGTGATTTATTTTGAATATCCTAATCCTGATATTGATACATATTCTAAAATTAGTGTATATGTTGAAATAATAACAATATTAAACATGGAATTTATTCATAAGCAACGTTTGAAAATATCGCTTTTCTGCGAAATTAAAATCAAGTTCACAAGATTATTTTGTTATTAATGAACAAAATCAACTAGTGATAACAATTGTTCGAGCTTGCTGGTTGGAAATTGTTGAAATTTTTATGTAAACATCATGATTTTATATATAACAAACTAATGGAACAGAAAATCTTCAATCTCAAATTCAAGATCACACGATATACAAGATCCATTTTTTTTTTTAAATATTTTAAACCGAATTAAATAATATTTAGAATTAAATAGTATTGGAACTTATTTCTGATTGGAACCTGTAGAAACTTTTATAAAAAAATATAAATTTTATTTATAACTATCTAATTGAACATCAAATCTTCAATTCTTCAAATTCAGGATCTCAGGAAATACCTATTTTATTTTGTTATTAACGAACAAAATTAGATATTAATTCTAAGGATTTTTGGAACTTATTACTAGTTGTTGGAATTTTTATAAAAACATGGAAATTTTATTAATACTTATCTAATTGAGCATGAAGTCTTCAAACATTTCCAAAAAAAGACATAGCAAAAAATTGTTATTGCTGTATTAGAATAAAATTTTAATATTTTCATCAAGTACGGCCCAGTTTTGCCGATAATCGATCATATCGATATCAAATTACATAATAAATAAAATTGATATTTTATATATAGGCAGTTTTGCAGATTAAAAGAGTATTGTTGGTAATGTTACAAAAGTCCGCCTAAAATTTAGTTTCAGAAAACACGCGGTCATTCATATTTTGTTCGTCGAGGGTGATAAGTGTCATTTTAGTAAATTGGCCAAGATAAATTATTTTATTTGCAATACAGGTTGACGTTGAATTTGTCTAAGTGTTAAGTGTAAGTTCAGCAAAAGTGTTTGTGGACATTTTCTTGTAGAATTTCCTATCGATTCTGAGGTGGTGTAATACCTGATAGGTGAGTGATTTATTTTTCATAGTATTTTCTTAATTCTAGGTAATTAGTAACTAAGATTTTTTACTGATTTGTTGCAATTCTTATTAACGTGTCAACATAATTCACATAAATCTATGTTGATGTATACTTCGGGTTTAGCCTTTATGATTTTACCTTGTTGAAATATTACGAAGTATTATATTCGAAGGTTCTTAAGTACCTTCAGCCATTTTCTGTATGGGCGTACATTTTATAAAAAAAAATTAGCTGCTAAATCTGGACTATATAATGGAGGAATATTTAAGCAATTAACGTTGATCATTTATCAAGCAAAATTAGTAAAAGTACGAGAATTAGTATTACGAGAATTCTTTGAAGCGCTCTGGATTCTAATTATTATTTTGAAGATGATGTAACCTTTAATACAAATATTATAATATACATATACATATACATTAATCTAACATAACTGTAAACAATTCAGCTATATGCAAATTGCTTTTGATTAGTACTTACAACTAGAAATTGTATATTAAATTAAATGACTAAGCATACAAAGGATCAAATGTTGGGCTTTAATAGGCGTTGTTACATCTGCAATATTAAAAATCAATCAAATATATAGATAACTTAATCATTGGATTACTTATTGGATCATAAAAGTTCGAATAAAGAAAAGGATTACATTTGCTATTTTAAAAAATGAATTAGAAATAAAAAAAAATGGTCGTGTCCCAAATGTTATATGTCGGGGCTCCTAAAATGCCCAATATTATTAACGCATGTTTCCAGATTGCTTAGAACCAAGAAAATACTCTCTTATAAACAATATTTTCTTATGAAATAGGTTGGACGATTTATCATCATCATACTTCAGTACTGCAGTATTAGCACTATTTCTGTAAAATTTAGAGATTTTATTACGTCAATGCTTAAAATTTAATCTTTTATCTCTTGTGTCGCCCAACCAATCTTCTTTAACCATATCTGCAGCCTTTTCCGCAATCATGTAAACCACAGCCGTTGTATGAGCGGCAGGCAAGGTTGGCATTATGGAAGCATCCACAACTCGAAGGCCTGATATTCCATGTACCTTTAGTCTGTGGTCAACCACTGCTGATGAATCGTTTGCTGGACCCATTTTGCAGGTTCCGACCTTGATAAGAAAAATATATATTAACTTTGTTTGGTACCCAATCTATGATTCTAAAATTGCTTTGTGTTCACATACTGCTTTATGAATAAAAAAATTGCTCTATGGCTAAATGGAATTGTTTTTACGGTGATGTTAATAGTACGCCGTTTCTTTTTTGTATCAGTATGAATCCAAAAGTTTGTAACTGATGTTATAAAACGATTTATAAAAATCCATTCTTACTAATTTTTTGTGTGGATGATTTGCTAATTTTTTTAATTTTATGATCGAAATTTTATGATCGAAATTTCCAATATTTTATAATAATTCTAGCTAAACTAGAATTGAATTATACCTAATATTTAGATGTGTGATCAATTATTATTTTTCAATATTCCATTCCTTGTTTACCTGATGATGTAATGTGCCAGCAACATGCCTAAGAGCGCATTCCCAATATTCGTCTGTTTCACTAGTAAAATTTTTGCATTTCGAGTGCGGAATAGAATTTAATGTCACATTGTATTTACTAAATGCTTTGGTTCGAATCATTTTTATTGCCTATGAATAAATAAAAGTATGTATTTACATATTTATGTATGCAGCGTTATAGATAACGGTAAATGATAAATGAATCGCAATCGTCGGCAATAATGCTTGTAGATAGAAATATGTAACAAACTTATCTAATATCATTGCAGTAATGATTGTTTTGGGAATAATTAATTCAATTTTGATTAATTTCTACTTACCAATTTTAAAGCTTCAATCATTACTTTTATATCATGTTCATTACTCAAGTAATTTGGGTTGATAATTGGAGGTTCCATCGGATCCCTACTCGCTAATTTTACTCTTCCCACTGGTTTAGGCGCCAATTGAAAGGCAACAAGACTAAAATTTTTATTCGGATTAGCTTTCTGTGTTTGATTCGATACCTTAGCTATATGTTTAAGAATTCCAGAATACGTGAATAGTACAACCTCGACATCGGGTATTTTTTTATTGTTAAATTTCGTATTCATCAATGATAACGCTTCCATACCAGATGGTAATGTTATTGGTCCTTTGCCGTTTTTAAAGTAGTCTTCAACGTACTCAGGATTTTCTAACACGTCTTCTCCTATACCTTCCAAGCCTTCATACTCGAATTCTAATGGCATGATACCAAAATGATTTCTGTAATTGTATCCCACTTTCAAGTCTTTGACTACTGGTATTCCAAGGCTCTGCAAATGTTTACTTGGTCCAATTCCAGATAACATAAGAACTTTTGGCGAATTAAATGTGCCCGCACTTAGAATTACTTCCTTCCTTGCTCTGATTTTATAGTTTGTACCGTTTTTGGTAAAATAGACACCCACGACTCTGTTTTTTGAATTATTAAACAATATTTTTGTAACAAAAGCTGATGTGGATATAGATAAATTAGGTCTTGTTGATGCTGGTTTGAGGTAACAATTCACAGCGCTGCATCTTCTACCATTTTTCAAATTAGTCTGCAATTTGGCGACACTTGTTTGATTTAAGCCATTGTAATCATTTGTTTCATAACCTAGTTCTAATCCAGCTTCTATAAAAGTTCTGGATAAGTTAGTTTCGTAGCCTGGGTAGTCTACACTTAAATAACCTTCAGTTCCATGGTAAATCGAGTTTTTCAAATTTTCAATTTGTATTTTCTCAGACTTCTTGAAATACTTCAATGCATCTTTGTAGCACCAGCCATGATTACCAGCATCGCACCATCTATCATAGTCCTTCTTATTGCCTCGAGAATATAAAACAAAATTTAATATACTGGATCCTCCTAATACTTTACCACTTGCTATATCGCAAAATCCATCTCTTGCTAAACAACTACCATTTTGCTTAACACTTTCATAATTCCAATCAAACGAAGTGCCTATCAAATTTCCAGCTAGTAATGGAACATCAGATAGATAATTTGATTGTTCTCCAGCTTCTAAAAGTAAAACTTTCCAGTTATTTATTTCTGTAAGTCGGTTGGCCATTACACTTCCACCAGGGCCACTTCCAATTATGATAAAATCATAAACTTCTTCGAATTTATCTATTATTGGAATTGGTTTGTCTGTCGATGCTTCATGTTCATTGTAATAGTCTTCAAGGATTTGCGTGGAAACATCAGCAAAAATTAAGGATATAAATTTTATACAAAAAATCCCTATTATTATAAATACATTATTGGTTCTGTACTTGCAACTCATTTTGCAAAGTTCTTTGGAATAAATCAAGTCAAAAATTGAAAATATACTAATTATTAGTTTTGCTATGGTTATGTTTACTATTATTTATTTTTCAAGTCCAACATTGATGCAACACTATAATTAGTGCAAAATTGTCACAAACAACTTTTATATAAATATTCATACTTCTATGTACATTTGAGTAATTGTCTACTATATTAGTGCGTTTGTTATGAATGAATGAAACACGTGGTTGAAAAACGAGATTTTTTAGATTTAATATTTTTAATTGAATTACTTGATGTATTTTATGAAGTTTTCATATTAAATGTTAGAATTATTTCAAAAAAATTATCAACACGCTATTTTATTCAAGAAGTGGTTGTTTTGAACTATTACTGCTGATTTTTAAAATTATCAAGATTTACGTAAAAAGTCTTAATTAAAAAATTAAATTAATAAACTGGGTTTGTGTAATTTGTTATATATATATAACATTTGTCATATATATATATATATATATATATATATATAACATTTGTTATATATATAATATAAACATAGCATTTGTATATGAAATTATAATAAAATATTTCCCCTTGATAATATGAAATTCTCGACACAAGAACGTCGAGAATTTTCAAGCTCAGGCGAAAAATACATTGTTATAAGAAGTTCTTTTAATTCTTATATTTATTTTATTTTATTATAATTAATTATAAAGTTATGTTTTAGATTCATTATTTTTTATCCTAAAAACGCTTCCAAGCCTAATTTTAATTAAGAATCTACGAAAGTTTTTCTGTATTGGACTCATTTGCGAATGTTTAACATTCAAATATTCTTACCACACATGAATTTTAAACTTTATCTATAAATCTATTTTTAATAGATTTTTGTAAATAATTGCAATTGTTAGAAATGCGTAATTGGCTTTGTTAAATATCATCATACATAGCTATAATTATTTATTTATGCAGAGTATAATTATTTCTAATAGAATAATGAAATACTTATAAACAAAAATTAAGTTAAATAAATGAAAAGATAGTACTAATTTTATTTTTGCCTAAGGACGCAACACATTTTGTAAACAATTGTAATGTCTTTTTTATTTTGAAATTATTCAATGACTTTGGGCATTTTTTGTGATTATCAAACGATTTGAACTTAACTTCGCAATTTTTTTCTATTAGCATTTAAATCACCGACTTTAAAATAATTATACCCTGCACAAATAGAAAATTATAGTTTAAATTTATTTACAAATCCAATATATGTGGAAATTTTTGTTCTTGATCAATTTCCATAAAAACACAAATATTTAAGTGGAATCACCATGGTGCGTAATTTAGAAGTATTAATAATCGTATAGAGATTTAGTGGTTAGAGCTATGGGAATTTAATCAAGTTACTGGTTTGGTATGCCTTGGGCAACCTGATGTCAAGCAGTAGAGACATCGGTTTTTACTTAAAAATATATAAACCCTTACCTGGCATTGCTGCACCAATAAAAAGAAATTCATCTGTATTATAGAAATTGTTCTAATATAAGTATTCATCACAAGAAATAGTACAACCATTTGGGTTGCCATGTATAAAATCACGTCGTAAAAAAAATCTTTGCCTGAAATTGTTGCATCAATAAAAAAAATCATTAGTATTACATAAATTGTAATAATATAGGTAACCATCACATAGAAATTGGATAACCGTTTGGGTTGTCGTGTATAAAATCATGTTATCAAAAAAATCCTTAAGTTCTTATTGCCACATGATGGTTATTCATAAAACACTTTATAATGTGCTTCTTTATTCAAAACTTTAATAGTTTTACTTATTTTTGGAATAGAATAAACTTCAAGGCAATTTTGATTGTCCATCAGGAATTTGAATAAAAGCCAAGATTGTCTAAACCAGGAATTTGAATAAAATCCACAGCAAAGCGTCGATGGATATGTGGTACCTATATATATATATATATATATATATATATATATATATATATATAAATAAATAAATATATATATATATATATATATATATGAGTGAGTTCTTGAGGGCGATACATCAAACAAAGAAAAGCCAAAGATTTATAAAATAATCTTTATTTCCAAACGTTTCGACATTCAATTTAATGTCATCATCAGTGGATCTAAAAACAGTATGAAAATTAGTATATCTAGGTAATTATAATATATGTGAATTGGTAAAGTAACTATACAATAAGAGAAAAATTAACAAACAGCAACACTTAACAACAAACCAAATATAAAAGATAGGATAAAAGGTAGGATAAAAGATAGGATAAAAAGATAGGATAAAACCAAGTATAAAAGATATATATATATATTATTACCTTTACCAAAAATCGTTGGTGACATGGCGACCCGACTTTCAAACTATCATTATACGTTCATATTAAAACCTGATGGAGGATCCTAAATGCATTTCGTGTAAAACTGCATGTTATTAAATTTTATTAAACATGTTTCGAGGATCGTTAATTTTAAATCTTTCGAGAACATTTGAGAATGAAAAATCAGCTGTGCCACGATGACAGCCGTTACTAGTTCGCGGAGAGATAACGTGTCGGCCTTAATTTCACTTCGAGGATTTTTATCTGACCTATGCACTTTTTTCTCCCCTAGGAATAGACGAGATGTCTATTGGAAATAGAAACTTCAAATATTCTCAATTTACCAGTGACGTAGGAAAATAAAAGAATTGTAAAGAAAATTTAAAAATTTTATTTACAAATTTACCCACAGAAATGTGTACAATCCTAGTAATATAATTTTCAACAATACTTTACTTTCTAAGATTTGATACTAGCTATTTTATGTATTTAGAAAAAAACATTAAATTTATATGTAACAATCAGAATAAAGTAAGTAATTCTATGACCTACAATCTAAACAAATCTATAAAAAGAAACTAACCAACTATAATAATAATAATAATAACAAATAAATAAATAAATAGAATTAATAATCATAATAATTATAAAATCAAATAGTTTATAATAATAATAATAATAAATATAATAATAGAATGAAAAACTATTCCATTGACCAGGTAACTAATTAGTTAATTAAATAAATTAATATAAATTAAATGAAAATTTTTTCTTCAGTCTTCTTGAATTAGGGATTTTATGTATTTAACGTTAAAATTCGTATTTTTGTAATATGATGATATAATGCATCTCGTTTCTTCCAAGATAAAATAGGCCAATTCGTTTTCTCAGGATTAGTAGAAATGTGCAAACTTTTTCGTCCCCGATTTTGCGAAAAATGCTTAAGCAAGTTTGATAATTTGAAAACCTAAACATTTTTTTTGTTATTTGGTAATTAATTATTCAAAATTATTTTTTACGATTTTAATATAAGTTTATTATTGTACAATTCATAAGCTTAACAAACTTCCTGAAATATTATAGGCTTCCAAAAATTGGCATCAAAATTTCTGAGTTGTATCACAACAATTTGGAAAATTTTTAAATCTCAATTTTTATTTATTATGGTGCCGATTATTCAGATAAATTGGGAAGCTTTTGCAACTTGTCTTTAGGCAAAATGCCACTACAACTATTTATTTTTCTACACGGTTTTGACTATAATTATAGTCAACAAGTTATGAATTTTAAATTTCAACTTTTAATAATTTAAGAATACTTAGCTCTTTTTATAATTGGTTATCTGTAATTTTTACAAATATTAGATATATTGGATATCAATTTATTATTAAGGACATATGATAATTTATAAAACGTTTTAATTATTACTCAGATTATATAATTTTTCAAAATATTTTAATTTTGAATGTAAGGACTGCTGAAATTGGAGGTAATCTGTCTTTCTTCAGAAAAATCTTGTCTTAATTTTCTACTTTAAATATATAATTTTAATTATCGATACTGATTTAGAAAATTGAAAAAGTTACTTAAAATGACTAATTTTTGAATCGTGAATGCAATTTTTCGGAAAAAAAATGGCGGAGGCAATTTTTTTTACAAAATCTTCATTTTCCAAAACTTCCTTTCAATTTTTTTTTCATTTCTCTGCAAACTAAGTATAAACATTGATCCTAAAAGATTTTCCTATCTTCATTTTCCTTCACATAAAAATAATATTTATAGACAATTACCTATTCTACACCTCTGTGTCTAAAATAACGATACCTGTCTCTACTCAGCTGTCTGTTAGGCCCTCTCAGAATCTTCGTGTGTGAATTTTTGACTGTGGGACGTCCCGTTCGGGAATGGGTCCCATATGGGAATTTTTGCATTAGTAATTTCATGCACGTTACTTAGGTACACTGAACTGATTAAATCGAATTACCTGTGAAAATAAATCTAGGTTTTAATAGTCGGCCTTTATAATTTAATATTTTTACCAAAAAATAAAAAAAAAATCGAAAATTTAAATATTAGTCAAATTTTCAAAGAAAAAAAATGTTTTAATTATTATTATAACTATCAGCAATTAGTTTTCATTAAAATTATTAACAAGAATTTTACCCATGTTATTGACAAAATAACATTCTTATGTTGCTGGTACAAGATTCATTCTTAGAAAAGGTGTTAAAATATTTAATACCTTAATTATCTTGAACTCTAAAATTGTATTTCATAATTTATCTAATTTCTTCCAAACCATCAAATCCATTTTTGTAAAATATTTTTTATCTTTATTATATAGCTTCCATTTATTTTTTCGTGATCAATAATGTTAGATAATTCAGGTCCTCGTTGAACTATTAAACTATTTATTTTCTAATTTGAAAAATACTTGGTTAAGTGTACATCAAGGTAATATTTTGATCTTGTCTGCACTCAGTAGACAAATGTTTATCCTAGGGTCTATATAATTCAGTAGTGAACTAATAGTTGCCTAATGTTTCGATACTTCAAGGGTTCATCTAGAAAACTCATTTTCTTTTTCTTGTTCTCAGAGATGACCAGTTTGAAATTATTTTCCAGATTGCCTAATTCGTTTGGATATTGATACTGATTTCTAGTTTATTTTAATTTGGACAAGTTGGACTTTAGAATTAAGAATGTAATAAAATAATAGAATGCTTCACATAAATCATACATATTCAATTTTTGTATGTATCAAATATTAACTTTTTCTTTAAAATTTGAAAGTTTTGATTAATATTTTGTTATCTAATGTAAATTGTTAAAAATACAGATAAAGTAATTTCAAAATGTTAAATTATCCAAAATGATGCAAATGCGAATTTTTTGTTAAAAATAAAGATGATCTCACAAGTCGCTAGTTTATATGATGGGAACATAAATAAGATCCTGATAAAATTAATCAATTTTTATAAAAATTATATTTAAATTATTTTATATAATATAATCAACAATATTATTTTAATAACTTAAAGTCAATTATCATTTATATTTTTAGACAATTTTTAAAAAAACTACTTATCTCGATCAATTAATTAAAATCTTATATAAAAGAAATCCTTTACAAAAGTCCGTTATATTTGCCAGTGTCCTTTTAAAATAAGCTCCTTAAATCCTCGAATTAAACGTTACGATAAGGATTGTTTATATTATATATTTATCTTATAGGGTTGGGGGTTGCTCTCGAAATCATATGTTCCATTATATTCGAAAACCGAGGGTGAGTGAACTATTCTTAAAGATTTCTGAAGAATTGCCAGCTGTTTTTGGCGTCAAGATTTGGCACGAGCCATTTCCTTATATTGTTTGATATAAAAAATGTGTACTTTATCTGCCGGGGGACAAATTCGTGAAAGCAAATCGATAAATTATGGTCATTGGGAATAATGGATATATGTGATTAAATCCTAGTACATCTGGAGTGATTAAATATAGGGAAAATTATATTTTTGCAGTTGGGAAAGATCAACTTTTTGCAATGGATAACAATTTAATCAACATAAAAATGAATGAAATATTTATTATAGAAAAATATATTTTTACTGCGCTATTTTCTTAAATTAAAATATACTGTTATACTACCTGATATCAAGCAGTAGTGATATCTATTTTTACTTGAAAATGTTGATCAAAAATATGTTTCCAAGTGAAAATAACACTTAGGTACTGCTGTGTAAAAAAGTATGTAAAAATTTAATTGACCAAAATACAAAAATAAAACTAAAGTAGATTATAAATCAATATGGTACAATTTCATTAAATATGTAGAATGTATGCAGATAATGTAGGTGGCCAAAAAATAAAAAATAAAAAAAAAGTTTTAGTGATGACAATTATCTAATTAAGGAAATTAAATAATTGGAACTTTCCATCAAACTTTATGTAATATATGAATTGAATTCAATTGCTAAGTTCTTCGATCTGGCTTCAATTTTTCGAAATTTTACCGGAACCTCATAATTCATTAGAGCTGTGATTTCCGTTACCAAATTGACTCCTTCTTAACCGTTATCCGGTTCCCCTAATATTATTTTGCATTATTAGTTTTACTTCATTTTGCCTTGCAGCTTTCCTC